TCGGCTAACATCTATTTTTCATCCCCCTAAGTGTTACGGGTAGTTCACCCATAATTTTTTTTTTATTTTAAGGCAAAACAACGTTTGCCGGGACAGCTAGTACATGTAATTTCAATTAAAATTAGAAAGTGACTAAAAGTTTAAACTCAATTTCATTATTCCACATTTCACTGAGTATATTTTGAACCCTGATATTTTGGTATCTCACTACGATCTCATAAAGTAATTTGATAGACGGCTTCCGATGGTTGCGAGTTCGATTCCTCGCACGGTACAAACATTTGTATTCATGAGTGATAGTTTGTATTGATCTGGGTGTTTTCTATGTATATTAAATATTTGTTTAGAAAATAGTATATATTAAAAAAAATTATAAGTATTTATATAATTGTCTAGCACCCAACACAAGCTCTGTTTAGCTAGAGACTAGATAGGGTTGTGTGAAATATTTAAGGGTTTTATTATTATTATTGTTCTTTATACATACATTTTATATATCTCCCCTCCATTGCGGATGAAAATAATAATTATTATTTCTTAGAAACCTTTCCACCTTTACTTACACTTAATTAACATTAATGCGTTATTTTTAAACGTCATAATAAACATTTAATGTTACTGTGCAAAATATTATGATAATTATCATAATTCATTTGAGATACGTTCTCTCAGTCAACCGATCTGAAATTATATAGAAATTTATAAACAGGCTTTGTCTTTAGAACAAGCAACAATGCCCATTTAGAGTTTATTTAACGGTACAATTTGATGAGAAACAAGATGGCCGCCCATTAATTTTAAATGGCTATCTCTCTCCATTAAAACGAGGAAAGACACGGTGTATACAAAATAATTAATTGTAACGGAGAGATATTACAAATTCTGTAATATTTAAAAGGTTATTGTCGAATTTTAATTGCTTGTCCTCTATAAAATTTGAACGACTTTGTGGATCGATAATCAACTACAAACTTAGTAGAAATTTGGAGGATTAGAATTCCTAAAAGTATCCTATGTGTTAGTCCAGAATATGTTCTGTAATTGTATCAAATAATGTATAAAAAAATTAACACATTCAAAAATCTTATTTTATTATATATTATAGGCATTATTGTTAATTACGTATATGTATATATTTTTAATCTCAGATATACATACATATACATGTTTACAAAAGTACAAATTAATTTTTAAATTATAAATAGGTAGGTAGGTAGTAAACTGTATCAAATTTGATTCAATTTCACCAAGTAGTTTTCAGTGAAAGGCTACCAAAGATCCATCTGTGACTGGAGCGGGTATAACTACCCAATTATCTAAAAAATGAAAACAATTATATATTTCCCAAGAGGGCTCCCAAGATATTTAAAAGTGACATATACAAAAGGGTATCAAAATATTCTATATATTAATACGTGAAGTAAAACCTTTGTATCACTTTTGCAAATTGCGCGGACGGAAGAGTGGAAAATTTAGTACACTTACAGTGTATACAAAGAAGGAATGCAGACCGATAATCTATATATTTTTTAATTATATAGAAAAAAACAAAATTTATAAAAAAAAAAATTACTCACACTACCATATATTTGACAGATACACATACACAAAGAATTAGTCTTTAACAATATAATCTTCAATTTAACAATAGAAATTAGTTCAAGTTGTTGATTTTTCTGGTGTCGATATTAAGATGTTTGCGCGAATCGATACCTATCATCGCCAATTCAGCCTGTATCTATCCACTGATGTGCGATCTCCATCCTTCCACTCTCAAAGAAATCCGAATCGATATTTTTTTGTGTAATAGCTTATAGAACAACGGTGTTCAATTTACAACCCTAAACTAGTACACCCTTGGAGATTTGTAGATAAGCTTATTCAGTAAATTAAGAATTTATCTATCTATATCTATTAATATTTAAATGACAATTAATTCTACAATATCAATCAAGAGTCAAGAGTGAAATTCTGCAAGTTTTGTCGTAAGTCGTAATAGACAAATTCGGGAAGCAAATCCGATCGCGTTGTCATCTTCCTACATTTATTATTTACAACTAGCTGTTACTCGCGCCTTCGTCCGAGTGGACTTCAACTTTTTGTATTAAAATAAATAAAATTTCTAAAATTAAATAGCCTAAGTTACTCCTTATAATCTCTGAGTCTCGAAAGTCCCATCAATAATCAACAATCTATTGATGGGACTTTCACTGTTGTCACTGTGTTGTTTACACACCAGGTCACAGTTAAGCGGAGCGTGTTTATTCAAAAACTCGACCTTGGTCAATCGGATTTTTTGAGTGGTAAATGATGAAGACTTGAAGGTCGACCTTCGATGAACTTTTGTTTCGATCGGTCAAGCCGTTTTGAAGTATCATTACAAAGAGTGCAAATTTGATCTCTAAGATCACTCCGTGCTTCGCGTTCCGCTCAAAAATCGAATTAGCAGTTGGATTGGCTTATTGTAAGATTTATTGGTACTAAGGTATTATAAGAGTTGTAAATACAACTATTTTTTTTTTATATTATTGTGTATCTTTTGATCACGATATATTTATGGGTTATATATCCAAAAAGTATTGGATACTAGCTGTGCCCGCGATTTCACTAGCATGAAATGTGCCTCGTACTACCTATGTATTATTTTCCGATGTATAAACTATATTATAGTAAACTTTCATCAAAATCTATTAAATAATTCTTTCGTGAAAGAGTACTAAACATCTATCCGTGTTATCCACCCATACTCACAAACTTTAGAGTTTGTAATATTAGTAAGACGTTATTACACTACATCTATGAATATTACAAAATGTAATACTTCAATACATTTGCCAAGTCGCGTGTGAACAGACCGTAAAAAGCTTAAAGGCTGGCAGTGTCATTTTAACAGTATGACATACCAAGCCCTTAAGATGAATAGACTGTCACAGTGCTTTTTATCTGAAGGGGAGAGGGGAGGCATGGAAACCAGCCGGTGTTTCTTGCCACCGGGAATGATAAAATATGACGCGGCAAAAACGAAATTAATGGAATCGTTGAGAACATCTCATATTTAATTTCACCGTTGTGCATTGCGATTGTTTAAAAAAAGTCCATTAGTAAATTGTCAACGCGTGGTATGAGGTGGTATTAAATATACATAATAGGTTACACAGTGACTTGTTTCAAATGAAATAACCCAGATGAAACAAACACATCATTGCAAATGCTTGCACCGCGCGAGGTAGATAACCTATTCTCAACTTCATCAAAATCTGTTTCGGAAAAACACGGCAACTGTGAATGAGAATTTCATGTATTTATCAATAGTCACCTTCACTAATGTAGTAACCATGTAATTACCCGCATAATGGAATAAATGCCCACGAGTGGAGATTATTAATTCTCACAGTTAATAGAAAACTGTCAAAAACTGGAGGGCATTAATTTTACACGCCATTAGGCCAGCTCGGCCCGGATCGAACCAACGATATCTCATTCGATATTATTTCTAGCGTTATTTCGTTAATTACTTGTGTCGAAAAAATATAGGGAAAAGTACAAGATATGTCATTAATTATATTGTTTACTTAATTATAAGAACTAGCTGTCCCGCGACTTCGTCCGCGTGGAATTTAGTTTTAGTTTTCTAAAAAAATAGTAGCCTAAGTTACTCCTTATTACATCAGCTACCTGCCAAAAAATAGTCCCATCAAAATCGGTCTAGACATTTTTGAGATTAGCCGGAACAAACAGACCAACAGACAGACAAAAATAGTTAAAAATGTTATTTTGGTGTATGTACCGTATTTATATTCATATGCATGTAGTAAAAAACAGTGATTTCAATATTGTATGTATAGATGATGCCAATATCGTTGTTATATGGCACAAAGTTTTAGATCAAATAAAACTGTTGAATGGATAAACTTGGTTAGCGAAGGTTTAAAAGAAATACATACATACTGTGCCCGCTGTATGGTTCTCGTGAAATTTATAGCCTATATGTTATTCCGAGATATAAGCTGTATTACTGTAAAATTTCATCAAAATCCGTTCAGTAGCTTTTGCGTGAAAGAGTAATTCATCCAGGCACAAACTTTCGCGTTTATAATATTAATAAGATTTTGTAAGTGAAATGCCAAGCAACTTGGCCAAATTGCGGCCAAGCATAGCCAAGGTTCTAAAGAAGTATAAATTTTTTATGACAGAAATGCTGATTTGGTCGATCATCAGTCTCACCTGCTTGTTCTTAGGTATATTCGTTTTGGAATTCAAAGTATAATCCATCACATTTAAAATTAGTGTTCCTGTTGCTAAATAATCATTACATAGTATAAAACAAAGTCGCTGTCGCTGTCTGTCCGTCCCTATGTATGCTTAAATCTTTAAAACTACGCAACAGATTTTGAAGCGGCTTTTTTAATAGACAGCCGTAGATCTAATATATTTAGAAATTGTTTGAACAGACTCTTGATATTTGTGTTATATTGGAATCGAACCCGCGACCACCGGCTGTTTCAGCAGTGTACCCAATTGTTTGCCACCTATTTACCTTTACCACCTACTGTTAAGAATAATAATGATTCAAGAGGAAGGTTTATATGTATAATATATGTGCACCCGTGCGAAGCCGAGGTGAATAGCTAGTAGTTATATATTGCGTGGAACTGTGATCAAAACTAGATTAAATTAGATTAAATTATATTTATTGCTGTATATCCACTGAATATCTCCATCAATTATAAGTAACTGACACATATAGAAACAGTTTCCTTTAGGTGGTGTTTACATAAGAAACTTGACATACGTGAATAACACTACGGACATCAAGTCAAGTTTCTTGTGAAACCTCTCACGCGTTGACTAAGATCTTATAGGTCCATACTGTTGTATTTTTATATAACATAAATTAGACATTATTTTATCAAAACATATACAATTCTTCTAACAAATATCTTTATTTCATTAAATGAAATTATAGATAAATATTAAATAAATTAATGAACAAAACAGCAGTATGTTAATTACGTGTGTAGCATTACATAAACTGTGAAAATTAAGTAGTTAATAGAGACTTGGGAATAGGACTTTGGTATCTCTCACATCACAGGAGCCCTATGCACTAAATCGAGAGGCTATATCCTCCTATTAATTCTATTTGATATCTTATACCACTTCTTCTACTTCAGTCCTTCTACTTGATTCAACTTATAGAATAAATCCCAGAACGCTATTCTTGCGTGAAGGGGTCTAGACTTAACGGAGAGTTCTAAATCTATATTCAAATAATAGTAATTGTCTTTTGTTAGTGGAGTCCATTTTATTGGTAGTAGTTCCGTTGTATCTGGTGTCGGGTCGCTGAAAAAAAATACTTATATAAATGAATACAGTTTGGAACTCTTGAAATATTGTTCAAACAACGAGTTTAATCTTTATAGAATTATTACGGTACTAACATTCAATTGTTCATATATAAATTAAAAGCCATATAGTATAATATTAATAAAAGGCAATAGAATCTTCAATTAAAAATTAGATATTTAAGAATAGAATAGAATAGAATATCATTTATTCAAATAAACTTACATTGAAGCACTTTTGAATAGTCATTACATTTTTTAATCTACCTTTATTTATTTGGTTAGTCATTTTAAGGAACTTTTTCCTTTTGTTAAAAATTTGAATTATTGACTTACCCATATTTAGCAAAATTTGCCCACATAGTAGTCATTTGGTTTAAAACTACTATATCATTTGGATTTTCTTCCGAGAGATATGATATGTCAAATAAATATCCTAAGTCATCAGCGTGAATAGCGCCCTCTACAGTTAGATTGAGGCTGACTTTATAGAAATTTCTACCACCACTATATGAAAACATGTAATAAAATATGTTTCCAGAAGAGCTCTCTATGTATTTCCTGATACTTCTTTGAATTGGATGCGAATATGTAAAATCAGTATCAAAATTTCCAATTTCGTCTTTTAGTTCATTACTTATTTTTTCGTCTCCCAAATAGAAATGTTGCACAATATTCGCCATTTCTGCAAGTTCGTTATCATCGAAAGCAAAAGCATGTTCTAATTTATTATGTATCAAATTTAAATCTTCAAAATATTCGGGTTCCTTATTCGCATATTCGAACCATCTCTCTTTATTATTAAATCCAATGAGTATTGACACTCCCTTGGCTTTTGGTACTGGTGCGTTGATCCAAGATTCTGTTATAAATGGATCGACATCACTAAATTCTTTTTCTACGCACGGCTTAAAGACCAAATTTAAAGCTTTTGATGCTGAAATAACTAAATTAGAATCTGTTGAAGTAAGGAAGTCTAGGGCCTCAGTTACAGAGTCAGTTTGAAAACCAAGGAATTCTGCTATTATTATTGGCGCAAATTCATCTGCACCTGGTGTTTGCAAAGTGTTCGACGCTATAGATGTTCCACTTTGCATTATAGCACGGTTGAAAAGATTCTCATTGGAAGACAACAAGTGAAAATCTATGGATATTGAACCCGCACTCTCTCCAAATAGTGTTATTTTGCTAATATCACCTCCAAATGCTTGAATATTCTCATTGATCCACCTCAAAGCTAATAACTGATCTCTTAATCCTTGATTGCCTGGCACTTCTGGCGTATCTAGACACATAAAACCATATGGACCAAGGCGATAATTAATCGATACTAAAATTATGTCTTGTTTCAGTAAATATTTTGGACCATATTCTGATCTTCTACCACTGCCAGTTGCAAAAGCTCCACCGTGAATCCAAACCATTACCGGTAGGCGGTTTTGACTACTGGCTGAATTAGGCACATAGATGTTTAAATACAAGCAATTAATATTTCCAAGAACAATTTCAGACTGATATTGCGGACATAACATTAAGGAATCATCATATGCTTCGTATACATCTTCAAATCTTTCTTGAGGAGTTGATATCTGGAAATTAATAAAATTTGATTGCTTATGTTTCTGTATATGTTTGGAATTTTAAAACCCAATACTTTTAGAAAACGTTACATCTATTAAATCTATTTTAATTACTTATCGATATATTTATTCTTTAGAGCTATTTTCTTAATTTGATAGAATGTGACAAAACATACGTAGGTGGGTTCCAGTATTTCTGAATAAAGCCATTTCTAAACTCGATTCTGAATAGTGTTATTTTCTTGAAATGTATTGCGACTTAAAATGTTTGATCCCCAAATAGAATTCAATACTGTTTCAGAAATAGAACAGTGTGTAAAGTATTTAGTTCTATATTTAGAAAATTGGCAAGTTGCCAATAATGATAGAGGGCATATGATTTGAATAAGACATTATGTATAGTGCAATATTTGTTTCTGCGTAATATGTGGGGGGCGACTATAATTCAGTAGCTGTTAGTATAATAAAAAATTACCTACCATCATGACTGATATCCCAGAAGGGGTAGTTATGGTGAATGCAACTTTTATCATGCCCATATTACATTATAATAATATTTTGGTTTAAATTTTTTTGATGGTCTCGTTTGTTAAGCGGTTTAGCGCACGACCATCGGATGTAAAGCAGTGATAAATTAGGGCCAACAAGAAAAACTTCATCAAAAACAAATCTATATGATTTTACGACTCAAGGTCTTTATAGTGCATATTGCTCTTTTGGAGAGATATGCATTTGATGAAATAAGGCGAGTGGAGATGGACAAGATAACGATAAGAATAATCTCTAGTTGTTCACTTCATAGTAGATCTTTCCAAAGAATTGTGATTATCGAATTTGAATCAAGTAGTAATATATTTATTTGATAAATTACCTACAATAAATGTACATAGAGTTACACTAGCTATAGTCAGTAACAATTTGTCCTTACTTTTGGTCTCTACGTATTTCAAACGCAATTGAATATAGCGAATATTGTAATATTGCATTATCTATTATACCAAATTATAAAAAATATTAGCACTTAATTTCATAGTCAGTATAGTTTAAGTGTTATTAAAACTGTAACTTAAACGGCAGTGAAAAATGACAAAAAAAATGCCTTAAATAAATACATTATAGTTACTTATTTAAGTCATATCATCATCATCATTGCCTTGTCTTTATTCCATTATTTGTATTCGGCGCAGCATACCATCTTCTTCCTCTGACCTGCCTACTGGCCGTCATATCTGAGGATACTCTCATATTATACATTCTTATAAACTAAAATATGTCAGAATTAATTATTTTGTGATTTGAATTGAAATAACGATAATTATTTTATACTAGCTGATGCCCGAGGTTTTGTGCGTACGGTATTTGAGATAGCTTCTGCATCAGCTCTTATTGTATTATTATTTTATTATTCTCTTTAAAACTTGTTAAATTCCTTTAAGGTGTTAACCTTAAAGGAATAAGAACAAACGAAGCGCCAGACTCAAATAGTTATGATTTCAGTTCAGATTTCAACTTTACTAAATATTTAAATTTACTCACCCCAAATGGATTACTCTCGTTGATTTTAGCAAACGGTATACCAAGGAACATGGAGTAATCACCATCGGATGCATGTAAACCTCTTATTAATCCTGCATTTGATTCAACTAACGGATCCAAACGTAAAATTTTACTATGCACATATTGAAGTGCAAATATTAAAATTACAAATTGCAACTTCATGTTTACATGCATCTTTTACTACAGATGTGTTGTCACTGACTATATCAGTTTATTGATAAAATCATGAGAGCATTTATTACATAATATCAATAGGTATAATATATCATGAAACGGCAAGAGTAGATTATGATATACGGGTAAATTTTATAGATTTACAAGATAATCTCAAAGTTGACGATACAGAGAATGTTATCTTAACTACATACTGAGTAGATACTTACGCTTGCAGATAGCTAATGTTAGAAGTAGTAACTTAGGCTCTTTTCAGAGCTGAATGGATCACAATGAAATTAAATTTGACGATTTAGCGACTTAGACTCCTGTTAAGCTAAATGATGGAACCATCATAATTAAATTTAACTTGACGGTTTAACATAACTCCTTTACTCCCGTTAGTTGTAAGTTAGATTCTTCGCACAGTACAAATATTTGTATTCATGAATATAATTGTTTGTATAGTCTGGTATAATTGTCTGTCAATTTGCTTACTTTCTATTTATTATTTATTGTTTTATGTATGTAATTACAAAAGAAATCTATGTGTTTATACTAGTTGTCTAGTAATCATAACACAAGCTCTGCTTATCTTGAGACTAGATAGCGCTGTGTGAATTGTCCCAAAGTCCTAAGATATATTATTAATGTGAAAACAAATTATATCACGGATACGGAAATATATATTCTTTTATTCTGGTAAAAAAATTCATAGCCAGTGTTGTTATACATTTAAAAAATCCCATTATACTTTATTTATTATACATAAAAAAATATTATTATAGATTTACACATTTTTTTTAAAGATATGACTGAATTTTTAAAATATACAAGCTTTTGTATGATATTTTTAATATTCATGAATCTTATTCATAGCCCTTTTGTTCCACTTTGTTAGTTTCGTAGAACAAATCCCAGAACGCCATCCTTTCGTGAAGTGGTCGGCTTCTCACAGACAGTTGCGAGTCTATGTTCAAATAATACCACTTGTCCTTTGTCAATGGTGTCCATTTGGCTGGTAGTAATTCTGTTACAGTAGGTGTAGGGTCGCTGAAAAACATATAATAATAGTTGGCGATCTTAGTGGCTTAACGGTTAGGCACATCGCCGGTTGGTTCGCGGATTCTGTTCCTTGCATGGTACAAATATTTATATTTATAAGCATGATTTTTTCTATCAGTGTATTCTATGTATGTATCGATATTTATGATAAAAAGTATTTGAGTATTTATATCAGTTATCTAGTATCCATAAAATAAATGTAATTATGATCTGCTTAGCTCGGAGCTAGATGGCACTGTGCGAATTGTCCAGGGATATTATTCTTATTATACATAATAAACATCCAGACCAATACAAATAATCAGGCCCATGCTTATATTTGCATTGTGCGAGGAATCATACCCGCGAGCGTCAGAAAAAAACAGGGTGCAAAGCTACTAGACTGTCATCATTCAGACTGCCAATCAATTACCTAATTTTTTAATAATATTAAGGCAAGTATAGTGATTAAAAATCTAGAAATTTTATTGTTTAGTGATTATTTTATTTTTACTATTATTTTTAATTTATACTTACCTATATTTAGCAAAGTTAGCCCACATTGTAGTCATTTGTTCAACGATAAATAGATCTTCTAAATTATTCTCTGTAAGAAATGCCACGTCGAACAGATATCCCAATTCATCGGCATGAAAAGCACCATCTTGAAATTTCACCTCATTCTGTTTTACTTTTTGCCAATTCCTTTCACCTCCATATGAAAACATATAATAGAATATATTTTCAGCAGAGCTTTCGATATATTTTCTAATGCTTCTTTGAACTGGGTGAATATACGTGTAATCGGAATCAAAATCACCAATTTCATCCCTAAATTCTATTGCTATTTTATTATCTCCTAAATAAAAGTGATGAATGATATCTTCCATTTCCGTAAGTTTGGTGCTATTAAAATTGAATGTCTGTACCAATTTATCATGTATTACATTTAAATTATCAAAATAATCAGAGTCTTTATTTACATATTCAAACCATCTTTCTTTATTATTGAATCCAAGAAGTATTGGCATTCCCTTAACTCTTGTCACTTTCGCGTTAATCCAAGGTTTAAGTATAAAAGGTTCAACATCATCAAACGCAGTTTCAACACAAGGTTTAAAAAGCATATGTAGACTGTTTGAGGCTGCAATAACTAAATTAGGATCAGTACCAGTAAGAAAATTTAAAGCTTCTTGTATAGATTCAGTTTGAAAACCAAGAAATTCCGCTATTTTAATAGGAGCTTGTTTATCAGGTGCTTCTAGAACGGTTGCAGCTAAAGATGTGCCACTCTGTAATATTATTTTATTAAAAATATTGTCATGTACAGATAAAAGGTGCAAATCTATTGATATTGCGCCAGCACTTTGACCAAATACAGTTATTTTATTAACATCGCCACCAAATGCTTCGATGTTATCCTTAACCCATCTTAAGGCTAGTAATTGATCTTTTAATCCCTGATTGCCTGGGACCTCTGGTATATCTAAACACATGAAACCATATGGACCGAGGCGATAATTAATTGATACTAAAATTATATCTTGTTTTACTAAAAATTTGGGACCGGTTTCTGTTATTTTTCCAGTACCAGTCTTAAATCCTCCACCATGTATCCAAACCATTACCGGTAATCGATTTTGGGAACTAGCTGTGTTTGGCACATATACATTTAAGTATAGGCAATTTATATTTCCCAAAATTTTCGATGATTCATACTGGGGACATAACATTAAAGAATCGTCGTATGCTTCATATATTTCTTCGAATCTTCCATATGGACTTGAATTCTGAAATGAAGTACAATATATTGCAACAACTAATATATTTATGCCAGATGGAGTAATCAGTAATAAGGTTTATATAACTAAATAAATAGAGACTTTACTCACGTACATATGTATTTCTTATATTCGTATTTTTAACAATATGTTTATTTCCAGATAATAGAGATAATTAACATACCCTGAGCCTCGTTTTAGACTTAAATAAAGACTTGAACTACAAATATTTATTTCTTTACTTTCTAACAAATATTCATCTTAATATATTGTGGAAATATATGTAAATAACAAAACGGAATCACCTATTCTAAAAGCGATTATTACAGTTCCGATTTTAGGGTTACTTAATATTTAAATTTACTCACCCCAAACGGATTACTCTCGTTGACTTTAGCAAACGGTATGCCAAGGAACATGGAGTAATCACCATCCGAAGCACGGAGCCCTCTAATTAATCCAACGTTAGATTCTACTAGAGGATCTATTCGTAAGTCGGTGCTTTGACCATATTGAATTATAGAAACAGTTATTAAAAATAGTATTTTCAATGTCACAACCATCTTCTACTAAAGATCTCTTATCACTGACACTATCGGTATGTTTTTGTTCTAGATAAATGGAATCGACACGTATCCTATATGTTTGTTTACCGGATATTACCAACTTATGCAACAAATAACTACAATGACAAATAACACATCATAACCTTTAATTGACATTCTTAAATAACTATATTGCAATATACTTTCGTTTGGACAGATGTCGTCATTAAATAAAAATATATACCAATATTAAATATTATTTCGATCATGCTTTACACTATGTGTATTCCTAACTAGAATGTTATCATTTAACGACTTTAACTTCATTATTTTTATGTTAGTATATTGGTAATATTGTTATATTAGTATATTGGTAACATTTGTCATATTAAGTCATACTCATATACAAACTGTTTAATTATTGTTTTATGAAGCTATTTTTGTAAACAGCTGTGGCAATACCAGTTGTCTTACTCGACAAATATTTTATGTCAGTTAAACGTCATTCTTTTCAGACATATTAATTACCGCTGTGTTTATTCATCATTATTCTCTTTAAGTATTGTGATATGTACGACATTGTCGAGCAGTGTTGCTTAGTTTTTCTATTATTGTCATCTGATTGTCATATTTAAATTATTGGTTTACCTATATCTTATTATTATTTGATTAATTAAATGAATTAAATATTTTCTTATTATCATCATTAACTTGTAGATAGATAACTATTTTAACTCATCTTCAGAACACACAATATAATGTAAACACATGTAACAAAAACAGTAGATAGTTACAATGATTAAGCAATAGTTGATTTATATACTACATCATAATTACATTTATATATGTTTTTAGCTAGTACTTTTTAAAAAATAATTGAAATTCTTAAGATTTTGTTTCATACTGAAACGCAACAATGTGCTCACGAAGAATAAAGAATTTAGGAATAAAAAAAATGTTGAAAAGTGTACGTACTTTATTATTCGTTTTCTTATTTTTCACATAATCTAGATGCATCTTCGTTTAATTTGTAGAACAAATCCCAGAAAGCCATCCTTGAGTTTAGTGGTCTAGATTCCATTGATAGTTGGGAGTGTATATTCATATAATGCCACTTGTCTTTTGTTAGTGGAGTCCACTTGACTGGTAACAGATCCGTAGTAGCTGGTGTGGGGTCCCTGTAATATATGTGATACAAAGAGACTACTGTATTTAGTGCGGAAAGTTTATCGCAATTGCTAATTTTATATATATGGAATGACAAAAACATTGATCATCTTTCTAATAGTTAGTGTTAATTTATTATTCTACCTTCATTCATATAAAATATTTACATATATGAATTGTCTTACATCACCATTCAATCACAGGAAATACATTTTACAAAGCAAACTGTATTAGTCTACCTCGGTAGATTAAATAAAATTAACAGCAACATGATATTTATTTATGTCATCATATAAATACTCCAGTAAGATGCCGGAAACTAATTATTACAGCAGGAAATCTCCTGTATAATAAACACTGTATTTTGTCATAATAGTAATAATCATAATATTTGGTCATAATTAAACTGAAACCAAAGACTCATTTACTGCGAATCATCCATTCTACATGTAAACCACCATAATACATATTTTGAACTTACCCATACTTAACAAAGTTAGCCCACATTGTAGTCATTTGCTCTAACAAAATTAAATCATTTACATTGTCCTCAGGAAGAAATGATACATCAAATAAATACCCTATTTCATCGGTGTGAAAAGCACCTTCTCCAGTGACATTGTAACGTGCTCTATAGAAATTTCTTCCACCACTATATGAAAACATATAATAATATATATTTTCAGGAGAGCTTTCAATGTATTTTTTAATACTTCTTTGAATAGGGTGAATATATGTGTAATCTGAATCGAAATCACCAATCTCATCAATTAGATCTATACTTATTTTTTCATCCCCAAAGTAGAAATGTTGGATAATATTTTTCATATTTGCTAAATCATCGTTATCCAAATTAAAAGATTCATTTAATTTATCATGGATAACATTTAAACCTTCAAAATATTTTTCATCTTTTCTTGCATATTCAGATGATCTTTCTTTGTTATTAAAGCCTATGAGTATTGGCATTCCTTTGATTTTCGTAAATTCCGCGTCAGTCCAAGGCTTTGTTATAAATGGTTCTACATCATTGAATACTGTTTCTACACATGGTTTGAAAACCATATTTAGTGTACGCGCAGTAGTAATGACTAAATGAGTATCGGTCTGAGCTAAAAAATTCAAAGCATCGGATACAGAATCTGTTTTAAAATCTAAATATTCAGCAATCTTTAGAGGAGCTGTTTTATCTGGTTTATCTGGTGTTTGCAATACCCTTGAAGCTAAAGATGTTCCGCTCTGCATTATAACACGATTGAAAAGATTATCGTGTTCGGATAATAGATGTAAATCTATAGATATGCCACCAGCACTTCGCCCAAATAATGTTATTTTATTGACATCTCCTCCAAAGGCTCCGATGTTATCTTTTACCCACCTCAAGGCTAATACCTGATCTTTCAATCCCTGATTGCCTGGAACTTCTGGAGTATCTAGACACATAAAACCATACGGTCCGAGGCGATAGTTGATTGTTATTAAAATTATATTTTTGTCTACCAAATATTTAGGACCATATTCAGATTTTCTTCCACTGCCAGATGTAAATGTTCCGCCATGAATAAAGATCATTACAGGTAGAAGGTTTTGCGAATGTGCTGAGTTTGGTACATAAACGTTTAAGAATAAACAGTTTACGTTTCCCACTTTAATATTGGAAGATTGGTATTGAGGGCACAACATAAGAGAATCATCATATGCTTCATAAACATCGTCAAATTTTTCTTGTGGAGTAGAAATCTGGAAAGCAATAAAAACGTAATTTTATTAAATACGTAAGTGTTATATTCATAACCATGATCATCAATTAAGACATAAATATATATAACTCAAAGGTGACTGACATAGCGATCTATCAACGCACAGCCCAAACCACTGGACGGATCGGGTTAAAATTTGGCATGCAGGTAGATGTTATGACGTAGGCATCCGCTAAGAAAGGATTTTGATTAATTCTACCCCCAAGTGGATAAAATAGGGGATGAAAGTTTGTATGAAACTTTATCAATTTTAAAGAGACTTTGCAGGCATAAAGCTACTATGATGTGGGCATCCCCTAAGAAAGGATTTTGATAAATTCCACCCCTGAGCCACCAACCCAAGCATATGTTATGTTAGATATTATAACTACCTTTATAACTATTATTATTTTCTAAAATCTGTGTAAAAAAATGCTCAATATAAAACACAACAACTTGCAAGTAAAGTGGTTTTGATATACTTTTATTGTAGTTAATTGGAATAAAAATATTTACCTGATGTATTTATATATAAACGTTTATGTAATTTGAAAATATCTTTACATAGTATAAAATGAAGTCGCCCACACTGTCTATTAGCTTAGATCTTTTAAACTAAGCAACGGATTTTAATGTAGTTTTAAGCAATAGATAGAGTGATTCAAGAGGAAGGTTTGTAAGTATAATACATGTACACCCGTGTAAAGCCGGGGCGGGTAGCTAGTCATAAACAATATTAATTAATTTACGTTTGATATGTAAATAATAATTATAATGACTAATTGTAATTTTCATTAAGACGAGTGTTTAATTTTTTTCATTCGTTAAATATTTTGTTATAAACTTATTGACTTACAAAACACTTGTACCTACAACAGACATTGTTTTAGTACACAGACTTTATTTTAGTTTTTTAATATAAATAATAAACTTGCAAATCACGATATTAATGTATCGTATGATCATCTAGGTCATCTAGTAATTTAGCACACCGCCTCACTTCCGATGGTCGCGGATTCGATTACTGGCAAACAGTACACATTGTATACATGAGTTTGATTGTTGGTATTGTCTAGGTATTATGTATATATAATATAATGTGTCTGTATTAATAAAAAAAATATGGGTGTCTATCAATTGTCTAGTACCCATACACACAAGCTTTACGTAGTATGGAACTAGATGGCGCTGTTTGAATTGTTAAAGTTATTATCTTAATCTTAATAATATTATAAACACCAAAATTTGTTTGTTACTCTTTCACGCAAAACCTACTTAACGAATGTTGATGAAATTTTAAAGTAATATAGCTTATGCAACAGAATAACACATAGGCTATATTTTGTATTGAAATTTAATGCATGTGTAACCGCGGGCACAGCTTATATATAACTCACCCCAAATGGATTACTCTCGTTGACTTTAGCAAACGGTATGCCAAGAAACATGGAGTAATCACCATCGGATGCTTGTAGACCTCTTATTAATCCTGCATTTGATTCTACTAACGGATCCAACCGTAATTTACTACATTCTACATTATAATATTGAATTATAAATATTATTGAAAATATTAACCTCATTTTGACGGCCATCTTGCAGTATAGATGTCACGTCTTGAACTGATATGATATATATAATGTCGCTGGAAGATTTATCTTGTTATTTTCTTATATCTAATAATTTTAAGAAGCGTTGAGTCACGATATTTTTTTTTTAAATTTGTATTATTATTAATACAAAATTGCATCACATAATAATAATAATAATAAAAATCCCACAAAAAAAGCTGAGAAAACAAAATATACCAATAATAATAGGACAATTCACACAGCGCAATCTAGACCCAAGTTAAGCTAACTATAGCTTGTGTTATGGGTGCTAGATAACTCATACAAATACATAGATATTTTTTTTCTTAAATACATACATATTATACATAGAAAACACCTAGACCGATACAAATAATCATAATCATACTCTTAATACAAATGTTTGTGCCGTGCGAGGAATCGAACCCGCGACTATCGGACGTAAAGCGGTGTGCTAAACCGTTAGATCAGCGAAGTCGTCGTCATAATATTCTTACATTTAAAAAAAACTCACAATTATATTTACAACTATATACATATAACTTTTGATGAGACAGCTTTCCGAAAAATTGTTATGACTATTCAATAGTGCTTAAATTAAGTTTATTTGAATAAATGATTTTCTATTCTATTCTATACTATAACATATGTAACTTATTCTTATTCTCATAATCTAGAACGCAATTATATAGTAAGTACCTACTTACTTATTCTTAATATTAACACGAATTAACATTATATAACTACAATCGGCTGTATAAATATACCTAATTATTATTCCGTATATAGTAACAAGAAATAATTGTAAAACAATTGTTAAAGCGGTTCCCTAGGGATATGTATCCCGAGAGATATATTCCTTCGATAAGACTGTCGTCACAGATCACGGGCAAAGTAAGGAGTTACGAGCGTACCTGGCTTTCTGCTATGGCGTCTTGGTGCAGGAATCGATGATCGACGACGATGATGATCGATGAACTGATCACACACACAACACGCGCGGCGGAAATTAGTGTATATACACCTTGAATATTGCACACTATCTATATACACCTTGACAATTCAATAGTTTATTAAATCGTAGTGATTCAATTATTATAAAACGTAATTATGTGCGAGCGGCGTTTCTCAGACACGAGCGGGAAACGAAGAAGAAGCGCCATCTTTCTTTCCATCGATGGCGCGGGCGTACTCGGCTCCTTTCGGCCCTAGATCGTGAGTATGTCTGTCCTTGTCTATTACACGAGATGTGCATTTAAACTAGTTGTGGCGCAAACATTCCCCCGGCCTTAAAGGGTTGCCTTTAAAAAAAATATACATATATATACCACTGGGAAATGAATAGCAGTATGCGGAAGATATATATAAATAAAATGAGCGGTATATTAATGCGTATAAGATTAATCATAAGCGGGAAGTTATCTGAGGTTATGTGAATACGATATATGAATGAAAGTTATATATAACTAAGCTAAATCTAAATTTTACTTATATTAAATATATAACTATTGATGCGGCAATGAGCACAAACGAACTACCGGGCGAAGGTAGCTACCCTTTGAAGTCCTAACAGTGACCACTCGCGTAGTTCCGTCTTTGGAAGGATGTACCTTTTCAACGACAGCTAATGGCCATGAAAAGGGCGGTGCGTTATCTATTACTAAAATTACAACAGTACCCTCCTTAATGGGAACTGATGGAAGATTCCATTTAGCGCGTGTCTGCAATTGATGCAGATACTCCATTCGCCACCGGCGCCAGAAAGACTGTACAATGCTATCCAGAAGGGAATGGCGTTGATTTAAATCGTGCGTGTTGGCTTCTGGCGCAGGAATGGATGAAAGAGGGACAGTATTTAAAAAATGAGCCGGCGTAAGAGCAGACGGCTCAGCGGGGTCACTACTTCTAGCTGTGAGTGGACGCGAATTAATAAGTGCCTCAACCTGAGAAAGCACTGTTATAAGTTCCTCATAAGAGAGAATTTGTGATCCTATCACCTTAAATAAATTATTTTTAACTATTTTTACGATGCTTTCCCAACCTCCACCGAAGTGGGGAGCAGCGGGAGGAATGAATTTCATACTAATGCGATTTTCTGAAAGTTCTAATTCTAAATGCGGGCGATATTCATCAAGAAACTTATATAAATCGCGAAGATACTTGCGAGCACCCACGAAACATGTTCCATTGTCCGTATATAAACAGTTTATCGGGACTCGGCGAGATAAGAATCGTTTAAGTGCGGATAAGAAACTAACCGTGCTTAAATCAGTAGCAACTTCAATATGAGTAGCACGGGTTGTCAGACAAGTGAAAATACATAACCATGCTTTGCGGCCTTTAACCCCCCGACCACGAATAGGTGTGTACTGTAAAGGACCGGCATAGTCACAGCCTACATGCGTAAATGCCTTATCAACTTGAGTGACGCGGTGGCTCGGTAGATCGGCCATGAGTGGAAACGTAGGGCGCGGTTTTATTTTAAAACAAGCGTTACATTTATGAATGCGATAACGTATTAAGCGGCGAGCGGACAGGATCCAGTACTTCTGCCTGAGTAAGGACATAAGTAACTCTGGTCCTGCATGAAGATGCTTCTTATGATAAAAATCGATAAGAATATCGATAACATGATCGCGGCGCGGTAAAAGTAGAGGATACTTAGTGCAGTAATCCTCAGCGGAACTTGACAAGCGACCACCGACGCGGATGACATCGTCCTTGTCTATAAATGGTCGGAGCTTGTTTAAAGCGGAAGAACAATATTTATTATTTTTTAAATTATTAAACTCATGTGCAAAATATACTTCTTGCACGGCGCGGATTAACTTTATTTCAGCAAAATCTAAGTCTTCACTCGTAATAACGGTATTACGAGGAAGGCGTTTAATAAATTTATATATATATACAATAGTCCGTAATAATTTAGAATATACAGAAAAGCGTTGAGATAGCGCGTAAAGTAGTGATTCAGAGGTATTTGAAATTAATGTGTGTATAACAGTCCGTTGTTCGGGAATGTCTTCATTCGATAAGTCGTGATTAACTTGAACTTAAAAGAATCATTAGAGTTATCCCAAAATAGACCTAAGATCTTGTGCGGGGTGGAATTATCGAATGATTTGTCACTGAGGGTTTTGTGTGTATCCGGGATGTGAGCAAGCACGTCGCGGGAGCTGCTCGTCCACTTTACGAGATCAAACTGTGCCATTTTAAAAAATGCAATAAGTTCGTTGCTAATGGTAATAGCCTGTTCATCTGTCATAACAGAAGATACGATATCATCCATATATAGTGCAGACGAAGCAACAGCGGCAGCAGCAGGGAATTTATCCCCTTCATCTTCAACTAGTTGTTGAACAACGCGGAGCGCGAGAAATGGACTCGACCTCAGTCCGAAGCATACACGATTAAATTCATATTCAGTCACAGGATCATCGGTGCTGAAGCGGTACAAAATTCGCTGAAACCTACGATCGGGTTCGCGTACAACTAGTTGATGAAACATTTGAAAACAGTCGGCGGAAATACAAACTTTAAAAAGACGAAAGTTAATTAAAATACTAAATAAATCACCCTGTAGGTTGGTACCACTATGCAATATATCATTTAACGAACGACCAGATGTCGTTTTACAACTGGCATCTAAAACCACGCGCAATTTAGTGGTGACCTTATCCTCTCGTAGCACTCCGTGATGTGGAATGTAGTACGAGTACGAGGGTATAAGTGAATTGTCTTGATGCGATTTAACTGGACTTAAATAGCCCTTATCAATATATGCGCGAATTACTTCGTTATAAGAAAAACGAAAATGAGGTGACGCTTCCAACTTACGTTCTAGACATAAATAACGTCTATGTGCGGCAGCGAAAGAGTCGCCTAAGGAGAACACGTCCTCTCGAAACGGCAGGGATACGATATATCTACCACTATCATCACGAGTAGTGGTGGCGCGAAAATAATGTTCACACTCGAGATCATCTGCACTCTGAGCGGGCGGCGCGGATATCTCCTCCAATTCCCAAAAACTTTGGAAGAGAGTGTCCATACGATCATGAATCACGGAACAACATGACGTTGTATATGCGGTATTTAATAATGCGGAATTAGGCGATGCGGAATTAAAAGTGGGTACGGAACCCATGATTACAAACCCTAATACGGTTTGTATCGCAGGCGGAATATTACGATGCTTGCTATGCACAATACCCGGCAATAGCAAGTGCGGGAATATAGAACTACCTATAAGTACGTCTATATTACTAGGAATGGCAAACTCGCCGTCTGCCAGCGGTAGGTTTTTAATGTGTGAAAATGCGGCGGTATTGACAGGAACGGAAGGCAAACTGTCCGTAATACGGTCAACAACAAGCGCGGAAATATTAAAGTGAACATTAAAATTAAAACGAGAAAATATATTAAATTCTACTGAACCCTTAACGTTTTTTTTGTGAGCCACCAATACCCTTTACCATCGTAGATGAATATTTTAATTCATTTAATAAACCTAAGCGGTCACAACATTCATCAGTAATAAAATTACTTTGGGACGCACTGTCCAATAAACATCGAACTAAGTGTTGTTTACCTAATGCGTCATACACAATAACGCATGCAGTTGCTAGTAGCACAGTTTTGTTACTGAGCGCGCAAAGTGACAGACCATTCTGCTTGGCCACGGCCTCGCCACTGTGTGACGGGAGCGGGGGTGAGGCCATGCTACTACGGGGCGCGGGCGCATCGCGCGCGGGCAGCGAGCCCCGATCCGTAACAAAATGTAGCAAAGAATGATGGCGCTTTTGACATGCACGACACGAAGATTTTGATCTACAAACACCTGACTTATGCTTGGTACTTAAACAATTTACGCATGAATTGTTAGCTTTAATATGTTTATAACGATCGAAAGGTGACAATTTTTCGAATGCACTACATTTATAAAAATGATCATGCATATTACTATTACAAAGTGAACATTTTATAGGTGTTACACTTGAAAC